CTCCTACTCGCGTATCGATCATCCCTATTTCCATGGCCCGCGCGAACCCCTCTCTCACGGGCAAAGTCTAAAAACATCACTTCTATCACAGCCATTCTATCTTGCGTCTTGTGCATCCTATCTTGCTATCAACCACCTACCCGTTACCACTGCCACCACACCTCATGTTATCCAACCGTCCAACCATTTCTTTTTCTTTAATTTTTTCCTCAACCCCCGCCTCTTCCCAAAACCCCTGGCCCCAAAGTACCCACCCCCTTCCAATCCCAAACCCACCTCCTACACAACTGTACACTACATCGCCCAGTGTATAAGCTTCGCCGCAACCCCGCCGCCCCTCAGGCCGTTGACCCCGGCAGATACTCGACTCCTCCACGACTCTTTTAAAGAACCAATCCCCCCATCCCTTTCCCTTTCCCAACGGCGACGTCCTATCCCCCTCCCACATCCCGCTTCTTGAGACCTTCCTGCCCTCTCGCCCTTCATTTTTTTCTCACTTGAACTCCCCCACTGCCGGTCCGCAAACACATCACCTTGTGACGGTCTTTGCATCCGCAACTCGCCTCGCTCACCCTTGTTCACGAAACCACATACATGCATCTCAGAAAAGCAAAGCGTGAAAGCGTGCATTGCTGCAAGCGTATGACGCTCAAAAGAGAACAAAACTTCGACAATCAATCAATTGTAACGGATTCCTTCAAAATAAAACCGCGTTGTAAAAGTAATTTGGGAGATCCTCCCTTGAGTAGTGCAATACGCCAATAGTGCAGCATTCTACCGCATGGCATTGTACTGCACTATTAAGCGGTATAAACTGTAGTCTGGTCAGTAAAAATGTGTCCTTCAACGCCAAATTACAGCTCTGGCGCAATTCCACCCACACCCGTTCCGCCTTATTTGTAAGGAACAGAGACGTCATCCCACTCCCATAAACCGTCTCGTTGAAGTTTTCCGTTTGCATTCGTTGCCTAAACTGTACCTTTGTACCGCATCCCAACGCGGTACTGTAGGCAAGAGGTACTTTCAGGTACACCTGTCCGGACCAGAACGGTCCGCGCAGTCCGACAAATTCCACGCAGTCCAACACACCCCGAAAATTCCCACAGAAATCCTCTGTAGTACTGTAGTGCAAGGCGAATACCTGGTTTTCTTCCCCCCCGATGAGCTCCACGCTTTTCAGTGCGATGGGGAAAGCTTCTAGCCAATCGGGTTGTCAGGGTTCTCTTCTTGGTAAAGAAGTAGGCCTCGGTAAATCATATATCCAATGGAACCCCGCTGGACCGTCGGTGTGGAAGCATTTCATGAGAGCTTCGCTGTGCGAAATGCGACGACTTGTGCTGACGTTCATCCCTGTTTTTGTTTCTTTCAATTGCAACACTGCCCTCCTTCTCTTTCCACCCCCTCTTTCGCCTGCTCCGTGTAATTCCGCGCAGTGACGGCACAACGAAGAACCTGACCCCTTTATACTACCTGACAGGCTTCACTTTACAGTGGACGTGTTCCCA